AATGCGTTAAAGTGCAAGCATACAGGTGACTTTGTCTCCTGCCCTCCTAACAAGTATCGCGTTGTAAACAATATCAGCCAACTGTCTTAGTAGAAGGTTTCATTGGACGCAAGTGCTTAAGTTACTAGAAAAATGGCTCCCCTTATGGCAGTACGCAGCCTTGTAGTCAGACTTCTCGAATATGTGGCATCTACAAGATTTTTCGAAAGATCTCCTTCAGTTCAGCTTCACTCAGGACAATGAGAATGGTCAAAGGGAGGTTGAAAAGTATGCGTTTATTTTAAATATAAGAAGATTTCATTTTGATGACGGCTGATGATGGGCTGCTATGGCGTACCCGTGCTGCATTAATATGTTAGGTATTAGGGCTTGTCAGTTCTGCGGGTCACTGCATTAGAAAATGAGATTAAATTCTGCCGAATTGTACCAACAGATCTATACATGGCCCCGCATGCGCATACGGAGTGAAATGTTCGGTCAACTGTTTTTAGCTGGGAGCGAGCACATTTGCTCGGTACCTTTTTTAAAATAAGGTTGACGAAACGACTGAGCAGCTCTATTGGTCTGAAGGCTTCGGATGGGCGCAACTGGAAGAGAAATTCGACACAGTCGGCATTAAATCTCCGGGTGATGGGCAGCATCCCGTAAGATTGCAAGACCCTCCTTAAGTCAACTAATGCACGGAGGTGGTTAAACCTATGAAAATCCAAAGATTTTTTAAAGTAACTCTCTGTTACTCAAACGCAGCCCAAGCTGCGGCCCCAAAGTCCTCAAGCTATAAACGAGTGTTTTTTCTCCATAATAGGGCATATTTAAATTTATGAAGAAACATTACGTTGTTTAGAAATACTCACTTTTTTTAGCAAAAGCGAAAATTCCGAAAAACGTCAAAATCGGAATTACTGGGCACACCTTAGTTTAAATCTAGAGGAAGCCTATTCGTGCAAATAGACCGAATGGACAAACAGCACAGGTTTGAGTACTCTGAAAATACTCTTTTTTTTAATTTTCGCATGCATATCCTTCCATGTTATGTGCAATGTGATATATGGTGGCGATCGGAAAGCCCAAATGTCAAATGTGTATTCCAACACGGTTTCGAGAGAATTGCTAATTGTTTCTTCCGTTAACGTATTGGGTGAATTAAGTTGGACTAAAGCCACCATATTTTCTTGCATAAATATAAGCTTTTAAACGTTCTTTTTTGTGCTGCTTCCAGTTTGGCGCAAGTTTTTAGAATCATTCAAACCTGTCAACTCATTGCCGAGAAAAATGAACGTCCGTAACCAAAGTCGCGAACGAATATGCTTACGGTTAATACAATTTGCCACATAAAAAGGTCCTTTACCCAGATATTTGGGTGTTGAATGTTTCTTTACGTTAACTTTTTTAAAGATAAATTCAAAATCAAAATGGAAAACGTTGGCCAGTTCTTTGGCTTACCTAACTATTAAGGATATATCCTCTGTTTAGAATGAAGGATTCAACTTTTTTGTGTATACCGGATCAGATCTTCTCTGCAGCTCGGTAGTGTCTACAGATCGGTCTTGTCCCGTTCTGCCTGCTTCCGCTGGCATGTGGGCTTCCTTTGTTCTCTTGACCTCAAGACTGCCCGAGAGATACCTCGCGTACTGGCCGTCCTAACACGTACTGTCTTGGTAGAATCTTATTAGGCAAGAGTTTTAAAGTCCAGGTCACGAGAAAAATGGCTCCCCTTATTGCAAGACGCAGTCTTGTAGTCGGACTTCTCGAATATGTGACCTCTGTATCTTATAGGAATTTTTTCGAAAGATTTCCATCAGTTCAGCTTCACTAAGGACAATGAGGATTTACAAAGGAGGTTGAAATGCGTATATATTCGTGGCCTTGTTTTAGAACACAAGAAAAATGCACTTTTATGAGCCCTCGGTGCAGTTTGATTGGCTGTCCGAGTGGATCCTAGCTGCAAGAATAGGTTAGTTATAAGGGCTGATCAAGTCTGCCTGGCACTGCACTAGGTAGTGAGATCAATTGTTTAAAGATGTCTAATAGCGTATTCGTTTGTTGCCTTGAATGTGCCTAAGGAGTGCAATTTTAGATCAACGTTTTTTTGCCGGGGTGAATATATATGCACGGTACCTTCTTTAAAAGGAGATTTAAAAGACAGGAGAACAGTCCCATTGGCCTGGAGGAAAGGAATTGCACACAGTCAGCAGCGAATGTCCAGGCGATGAGCGTGATACTGTAAGATTGCAGGACAGTCCCTTAGAAGCGACGAAATTTAATTTGGTAGTATAACATATATATGGTCACTTTATTCTGATCCTCTGAGTATATGTTATCCTGCGAATGCCTTTTACTTAGGATAGTTAGGTTTTCTCAAACTAATGTGCATTAATTTTGGCGAAATTGGTAATCGTCTAATATCGAAAGGATTTCCTTTATTATTAAATACGACAGAACAAAACTTTTGATGAATATGCATTTTGCTATGGCATAGCTACAAAAGTAGTAAAAAGCTGTAAAACATATCCCTTCTAGAACCCGAAAATATTGTCCGAAGTTGTTCAGATGCAAGTGAGACCAAGCTTGGAAGGAAGGAACGATTTGTGTTTAGCTGATCTATTAAGTCAACCAAGACAATATGGTCAGATTGCTTATATCGCGATATTCTTTAGGAGGACAAGATACCGACTCTACTAAGTGCTTGCACATTTTTGGCATTCAAGAACATATTAATCAGTGTCTTTGTAGCGAGGGGCTTGGAAAACACAAAGAGTACCTTTGCAGTTTTGAGAATTTCCATTTAAAGCGAGCTACATAAACGAATGGGATGGAAGAGCTATACCAGTCTACTGCAATGGCAGTTGATTGGGCATTTCTTTTGAAATTCATGCAATTGTGAGGATGTCTGCATAACAGCATTTGAAAGACCTTGACAAGGATGACAACGGCACTGTCAGTGTCGACGAAGTGTATACGCATCTGTTGAAATACCAAACACACTTGCCTAAAGGTGAATTTCTCAAAATGTTCTAGGAGTTGAATACCAATCAGAGTGGAGACCTTGATCTACAGAAACTGGGAGTTTTAATGCACCCGCATTCTGTAGTTTTTTAATCGGCTGCAGAGGGCTATCTATGATTACAAATAAACATGGTAATATTAATTTTATCTTCACCCAAAGAACAGGAAGATGAAGATAAGGGGGCGAGTTTGTGGAGGTTGCTGTCATGCAATTGTTATTGAAGTAAGAGAATAGCTGGTAAATAGGTATTTAGGGAAACGTTTCCTAACAAAAGACAAACAGACAAGA